GAGAGAGCTTCGATCTAAATACTTGGTGTGGGTCGCTAAGCGAGACCACGTGATCCGAATGGTGGTGACGGTTAGAACCGTCACAGCGAACACCCAGCCAAGTTTAGTCAGCCAGTTTGAGTATTCGTTACAATACTACCTAAAACCTTTACTCTAAATTATATATATATTTCTATAATCTTTTAATTTACTTTTAACCTTTATACTTTTTATCTTTCTATTATTAAATACTATATTATAGTCCCTCTTATTATTATCGAAATCTACTAAAAAAGTTAATTTATAGATATTAATTAGGCCGAATTTCTCTAGTATAATAATTAATCCCCTAAAATTATAGTAAGAGTTACTTTTATCTATCTAATAGCTTACCTTTATTATTATTATCTACTACCTAAACTCCGCCTACTCCCTATACTTACACCGGTCCTACTATAGTACTAAATACTCCTCCTAGGTTTTTCATAATAGCTATAATCCTTACTTACGATTCCTATCTTAATAATACTATTTTTATATTATATTCCTCTAATTATAGATAATCCTCTAATAACAATTAAGCTTATAACATCTATTAAATTAGTAGTAATTAGTTATTTTGTTATTGTCTTTATAATAGTAGTAGAAGTAAGCTGCCTAAACCGGAGCCCGTTTATTATAGAGCTAATATATTATTAAATTATTAATTGAACTTTAAATAAGAGTATACTTTTAATTCTAACAAAAGGACTAGCCTTTTAATAAGAAACTACTCTTTGCGAGCTTGTACCAACAATTAGTGGATTTGTTATTATTATAGACAAGTGATCGAATAGATCAAACGATATATACAAGCTTGCTTAGTCACCCTCAATACGCAAAACACATCCGATAATTATCGTAGACCGCCCCGATATGCCAACGTTTTTATCGTGCCCAAGTCTGATTCAAAGCTTGAGAAAGGTTTTCAGTTTGGTAACCTTACATTGCGTATTTCCTATGTCTTGTGCTTTATACTTTACGGCCGATATATAGACACATGATCATGGTTATTGTCTTCTTTTTTGAAGACTCGCTCATAGCTTTCTATAGACTCATCTTTTGTGTGAAATTCCCCTAGAACTGGGAAACTTCCTGTATTTTCTGGGTCAGTGTTAGCAATCTTGTGATAGGTCGGTTTTGATATTGTAAAACTGTTCATAGACGCCTGAATTACATTCATAATGGAGAAGTTCAGAAAGGACACGCTTATATACAATGGAAGAGAATACCAAAACCCACGTCTCGGTGTTTCACTCAGTGACTGAATAATGACATCCACAGAACTAATTCCAACTTACAATAAAAACAATCGACAGTTTATTGAAAGTCTAAAATTGAGGACACTATTGTAATTCTGCAAGAACAAGCTAGTTTTAAGTTAGTCTTATTCAGCGTAAAAAGTTCGAGTAGCTGAGTACTCAACCCAACTTACTAAGTAGTGAATTAGCTTATAAGCAACTCGAGTAGTGTCGGCCCGATGCTCTATAGCGCACCTCTAGTTTTTTTATATATATCTTTATAACTTGTATGGCGGTATTCTCATCTTTCATATTATAAGAAAATACAAGCTATCTAAAGTGAAAGTATAGTCGATTATTCCGTACTAGGTAGTAAAGCTTTGGATATTAAGTCTCTGTACCTCATAGTACTTAATTTGACATTAAATAGTAGCCAAATTTCATTACATTAATAAACAGGTGATGCTATGTTTATGCTAAGCGACTTCCCTTCCTTGAGATACGGAGAGAAAGGGTCGCCCGGATGTTTTGCGGTTCTTATACTCGGATTTTCAATTTTTGAGTGTTTTCTTTGTGGTCTATTAGGAGAGTGAGTGGTCGATCGTACTACGGTATAGCATCGAAGGTATAATCTTACAATCTATGAGATAATCACAGAGTAAAAGGGGGTGTTCGAGTGTTGCATTCAAGGCAAATCGTATATCAGAGCTCATGATACGTGATTCCGCTCTATAGAAGTAACAAGTCTATATCCAATCGAAAGGCTAAATCTTACTTAAACTCGTCTATTTCTTTTTGATACTCAACTAAAAATCTAAGACTTCCCAAACTCCACCTCCTTCTTAACTTTAAAATCCTCTTTCTTAGGTCTCACCCCAAAAATCGTACTCCCAACCCTCACCTCATCACTCCCCATCTTAATCGCGCCTTCAAAATCCTCACTCATCCCCATACTCAACTCCAACCTCCTATCCCCCAACTCACTCCTCAACTCCTCTTCCAGCCTCTCCCTCTCCCTCTTCAGTAACACAAAATCCTCATTCTCGTTTCCGGCGGCGGTCTCCTTGCTGCGTGCAATGGCGCCGATGGTCATGAGTCCGAGGAGATGGAGCGAGGGACAGTTTGCCAGAATGTGTTTTGCTAGCTCGCTGGTTTCGGCGCCGGGCGTGGTGCCGGATTTGGAGGATTCGCCCGAGGTGTTGACTTGGATGTGGATGTTGAGCGGGGGGAGGTTGGTGTGTGTTGTGCGGCCGAGGTGGAGTTGGGTGGCTTTTTTGGGGGAGTCGATGGAGGAGACGCAGAAGAGGTTGGGGATTGTTGAGGCGAGGGGTTTGCATTTGTCTGTAGAGAGTGTTAGAAATGTGGTTTATAATACTTCATTCGTAGAGAACTATGAGTTACAGTTGTATTGAACTTTGAGAACATGAAAAAGTCATGTCACGGGATATATTGTTGTCAACACAATAAAGATGAAGAAATATAAGCCATAAAAATATCTTCACTTACTACTCTGTAACCCCCCAATAAAATGCCACTTAACATCCTTCGGCAACATCTCCGCCTTCTCCATCAACTCCTGCGCATAATTCTCTCCAAAATGCATTTGCCTGACCTCAGGATCTTGATACAAAGCCAAAATATCCGAAGCAGGCTTCAACTTTGAAACCGCTACCAATCTTACCTACAAAGTATTTCTCTCATCAGCTCCCAGTCTTAAAATTTTTATGAGAAAATGTCAGAGTGAAGGGTTGAGAGATGAATTACATTTCTACCATTGGCACTTTTGATGACGCGTTGAGAAACGGCTTGTAATGCGCCCACTAAATCTTTGGCGCGCATACTGTCAATTTGGATTGAGGTCGTGGATTGCGTGCTCATTATGTGTCTTGGAAGAAGATAGTCGTATATCTTTGCCGGGATGGAGTGCGTGGTGTTGAGGAATGAGATGACGACTGGACTGGGGTTGAGAATTGGAGTCAATAAATTGGGGCCCGGACCGTGTCGGAACTCTACTGCCGGACCGTAGTCGGGCGTGTCGGGGTATCGGAAGCCTTATCAAATAGATCTTGGCTTGGCATATCCCGTTGATCGCGGTTATGGGGTTGTGTGGAGTAACGGAATACGACACTGACTTGCATGTTCTGGACTTCTGGAAAAGGACTCGAAAAGACAGAAATAGATTTTTGGAGATCCGAATGACCTTCTTTTCTGAATTGGGACAGACAGCCTTAACGGCAAAGACATCTCGGCGTTGTCTTGTGCTGTTGGAAGGCGCAATTCTTGGAGGATTACTCCTGCATATCATAGGTTTGTGAGTGGAATCAGTGGATTCAGCCTTCTTTGGTTATTGGTGGAGGGTCTTGTTGGTGTTTCGATGTTTTGTTTCTATTTCGATCCTTCTATGTATATACTAGTATGGGGCATATCTGGGGTTCGTGTTATGGGTTTGCTTTCGTTGTGTGATTAGTGTTGTATTGTTGGATGGGGCACATTTGTTTCTACCAGCTGTACCGCCCCTTTTTTATTTGTTTGAGCTTGGTTGGAGAAGATTTCCGAAAGTTGAGGGGTATCCTTTCTTCTGGAAAAATCTGGCGAAACGGGTAGAAGTAAAATTGAAGAGGCTCTACGGTACTGTGTGTCTAGATTCTCTTGGAACCAGTGTACGCACATCACCTACTTGCAAATCCTCGTATAGCTTCATTTAATCTGCTTCGGCAGATAAAAACATCATTTTATCATTGTTGAATTATATTGTATACGAACACCAGTGGTTTGAGATTAAGAGCAAAGCACTGCTTCAAAAGTCGAAAGATCCAGGGTAGTCAAGTGCGGGGCATTTCATACTTTGTGTGCCCGTTTACGAAATACCTGTTACATCGCGGTTCGTTTCATCCCAAGTAAACAGCCAAACAGCCCGTTCGTCACTTATTTCTAGACTCTAGCTAATTCAGCTGATTGAGATTCCGTAATACTTAGTTTTCGAGCTTCTGTATGATGTTATTTTTAATAAATGTATCTTGTGTTGGGTATCATCATCAGTACCTCGCTCTGTATGATCGTAAAAGTTGAAGTTGGCAGTTTGGTGTTGGTGTTGGTGTTGGTGTGACCTACTCGCACCGTTCCACCCATTTCCATATTTAGTACCCCAGAAAGGAAGGGTTCCACTGTGTAACCAAGACCTGATGATCCCCGTGTCAGAACTTTGATACTTTTTCAGAGAGTCAATATGATTACAAGCGTCCACCTTAGGACGTCACCATCACGGGCTTCTTAAATGAACGCAGGTGAATGGAAATATTATGACCTTTTAGCTGCTGGAAGCCGACCCAAATGATATGGTGTCACGATGATGTAAGAATGTACGAATTGACTCCGTACACAAATGATTGCCGAACCCCTGAAATGAATGAAACTGACCCTTTTCAAGTACGCACCAATCAGAAGACACGGAACGCTGCGCCCCTCGCTGAATGGCGTGTTTCAAGCTCCTTATGTGGACTGATCCCCTGGACTGATCCCCTGTCCCAACTCTACAAGCCGGGTAAGGTCACAGGTGGCAGTTCAGCGTCCAAGCCCTCGTACAAGCCAGCAGGAAACAGGAGCAGGACAAGAACCAGTCAAGGCACTTTATTTCCCGCAAGGATTGGCTAGGAAGGATCAATTTGACATTTCAAGCACCGCACCTTCACGAGCAACAGGATTGCATTCCTTTTTTATATCAATTCTCCAACACCAACAACCAAACTCCATTCTTACCCTCCTTCGCCTCTCTCCCTTATCTTAGACCTCGCCTCGCCTCGAAAGCTCTCCCCCTTCGAAGCGGCCACGTTCGTTCCATTAAGAAGCATCAACGCGTCCTTCGTGTTGCTTGCGTTGGAATTGTCTGTCAACTTGTGCAGAATTCACTCACCAGCAGCGTCATCATATCCGGTCATTGAGACGACACCCTTGAAGCGGACCCGTACGCATTTCTCTTCTTGCTGATCAGCGAGCTTATCGATACCTCGACACTCGATTGATCTTCCTTTATTTTTCCTGTTTCTGTTTCAATTCTTCGCGTACGAGTACTCGAGTAGCATCGACATTCCAATTCGACCCCACCACATCATTGAACTTCGACTACAACACAACATCCCCAGGTAGCCTTGACTGGCTCACACACTCCAACACCATCAATTACCCCCGAGCAAATGTCATTGCGTGAATCCAAATCCCCTCTGAGATCTCCCACCAATTTCTCCCACCGGGGCTTCCAACCCCTTCGTAACGAAAACGACGCGGAGATGGGCTACGATTCGAGTATCCAGATGCAGGCCATGCCACGTCGATCAGGTTCATCGACAGGCGCTCGAAAGAAGGGGGAAGGCACAAATTTACCCTCGGATTTCTCAACAGCAAACACATTCAAGGATGAAGAGAAGAAGGGCTTTTTCAGACGCGGTCCAGGGGGTAGAAGAAAGGACCCCAATGCCCCAAAATCAAATACAAGAGTGAATACAGATGGAGAAGAGGTCTCCGTGAATGCAATTGGAAGATTCTATAACCACATTGTCAACTTTTCTATTGTCACCCGATACTTTGTCTATGTCCTACCAATTGGACTTGGCCTCGCTGCTCCAATCGTCTACTACGCAATCACCGATAGAAACGATTACATTACTGATGCTATTGGTGTCAGAACCTGGCTCTTCTTCCTCTGGATCGAAATCGTCTGGCTGTCTCTTTGGGTTTCCAAGCTCATGGCAAAATTCGTACCTTGGCTGTTCATGACCTTGATTGGTGTCGTCAGTTCCGGTACTAAAAAGTATGCTCTTATCTTGAAAGCTGTAGAAATTGAGCTTAGTCTGGTTGGCTGGTCTGTTACTTCTCTGGCTACCTTTACTGCCCTCACCTCGGAAAGAATCAACGATCGAGCCGCCAATTCGAAACCGGGTATCAATGGCATTGTCCCCGATCCACATTGGATTGTTGTTATGCAGCGTATTCTCGTACCAATTTTCATTTCCACTTTGCTGTTACTTGGAGAGAAGATGATCATCCAACTCATCAGTGTCAACTATCATCGCCGTTCATTCGATCAAAGAATCAAGGAATCCAAGCATACAATTCACTTACTCGGTCTCCTTTACGATGCATCTCGTACGCTCTTCCCAACATACTGTCGAGAGTTTGCTGAAGAAGACTACGTTATCAACGATACGATCGAAGCTGTTTTGGCCAAGAGTGGAGTCCATCGTCGACGTGGTTCCAGAACTCCTCTGAAGGTTCTTGGAGATATTGGACGTGTTGGAGATAAGGTCACCTCTCTGTTTGGAAACATCGCTTCAGAAATCACCGGTAAACAGGTGTTCAATCCCACCTCTGCGCATTCGGTCGTTGTGGAAGCTTTGGAGAAGCCTAGATCATCTGAAGCTCTTGCTCGACGACTTTGGATGTCATTTGTAGTTGAAGGCAAGGATTCGCTGTATGCTGAGGATCTTGAAGAAGTTCTAGGCCCGTCGAGACAACAAGAAGCAGAGGAGGCCTTTAACGCTTTGGATGGTGATGGCAACGGTGATATCAGTTTGGAGGAAATGATTTTGAAAGTTGTAGAGGTTGGCCGTGCCAGAAAAGCCATTGCCGCAAGTATGCACGATGTTGGACAAGCTATTGGGGTTTTGGACAATATTCTAATATGGGTGCTGCTTGTTATCGTCGTCTTCATTTTTGGTAAATCCCCTTGCCCACCTCAGCCAACGCCTACTGACAGCATTTAGTTGCATTCCAAAACACCAATTTTCTCACCACACTTGCCACTGCGGGTACGACTCTTCTCTCCCTGTCGTTCGTCTTTGCCGCTACCACTCAAGAATTCCTGGGAAGTTGTATTTTCCTGTTCGTCAAGCATCCATTCGATGTAGGTGACCGTGTCGACATTAATGGAGGAGATGGAAATCATCTTGTTGTTGAGCAGATCTCCTTGCTCTACACCCTCTTCAAACGTATCGACAATCAGAAGATAGTACAGATTCCCAATATTGTACTAAACAACCAGTGGGTTGAGAACGTAACCCGTTCCAAGGCCATGAAAGAACCACTTGAAATGTCCATCTCCTTCGATACTTCATTCGAGGATATCGAACTTCTACGTCTGGAAATGGAGAAGTTTGTTTGTCACCCGGATAATGCCCGCGACTTTCAACCCGAAATTACTCTTGAAGCTGCTGGAATCGGTAGCATGGACAAGCTCCTGCTCAAGATTAATATTTGTCATAAATCGAACTGGCACAACGAGACCATTCGTGCCGCTCGTCGATCGAAATTCATGTGCGCCCTTGTCCTTGCACTTCGAAAGGTTCCAATCTACGGGCCAGGTGGAGGTGCCGAGCCACTCGGAGGCCCTACAAACCCCGGATATAGTGTAGCGGTTGGTGATAGCTGGGCTGCTAATGCACGGGAGAAAGCCCAGGCTGATAAAGATGCCCAACGTCTTGCATCAGCTAAAAATGGACACGAGGCGAATGCAGCTGATGCTCTGAACGCTCGCAATCCTCTGTCTGATTCCGCACATCCAAGTGATGATAATGGCAGCTTTCCAGGAAGCAGAGAGGATGCCGAACAACGACAACGGGATTCGGATATTGAACAACTTCGTGATGGATTGAAGAAGTCCAAATCCAATCGCGGGGTTCGAAGAGCAGGCGATCATATCCCAGATGAGCCAGCTCCACGTGTACCAGATGTCAGTGTTACTGGACCATCATCATATCAAGGATATCAATCGTCTCCATACGGGAACAGAGAGATTGACGAGGAAGCGGAAATGGGAATTCGCCAGACTTCATCAACAGGTCCATTAGGCGGCTCGTCGTCGGATAATTTCGCGTCTCCGTTTGGATCACCACAGCCTCCGGCAGGTGGTTACAGCATATATCCTCAACAATCATACCAACAGCAACTGCAGCAGCAGTACGCGCAATACCCCCAGTCAGGTCAACTAAAACCTTTAGGAAGTAGTCCACCTCGACAGCGAGCGCCATCTCCGCCTCAAGGAGGACGATCACGCAATTTGAGTTTGAGTGTTCGACCGGGTGGTAATGGTGGTGGAAGCAGTGGTTGAAATAATATATGGAGATGGCCGCCCTCTTTGATTTCTTTCTAATTTGACGAACACCACGAATTTTCTTTTGAATCTTTGGTGGTTTTTTTTCCTGGGTGGAGGTGTTTTCTGATTTTATGGGATGTTGTCGTTGGATGGATGCATAGTGTGTAGATTTAGTAGATTTCGATGGAGGGAAGGGTCGGGTGAGATTGTTGGTACCGTAACGCGATTTACACGCGCAGGAAAAAGTCTTCGATGGCAGAGATGTCGTATTGTAGTAGTAGTGTCAGAAATTAAAGATCTCCAAATACTATAAACTGCATTGTGAAAATGATTAACGACGTAATCGTCCTCTCTAAATCTGGTGGGGTCCCAAAGCAACCCCTGGTGACCCCTGTATATTTTCGTCTGTTGTCCCCTCATCACGTCACCTCCACACTCGTCAGTTGGACTACCGTTATTCACCCGTTACCGTACCTGTGGGAAAGTCAACTCAGCCGCGTAGCACACGACCACGACATTGACAGCACATAAATTCCTTGGGCCTGTCTCGTCCCTGGGATTTCCTTGTGTTACCGTACAGCTAGGTACTTCGTACGAGGTGTACATACAATACATATACACCTCCCACCTTCCTTTCTCGCTCAATATTCTTACGAAAAGAAAATACCCCACCATACCTGCAAATGGAGCAAAGCAAGCACCTGCACCTCAAGATGTCTTCCCCAATAGTTCGCTCGACCATTCAATCCTGCGTCCTGGCTGCGTTTAGCAATCTGACAGCTCAGATTATCACGGCGTATAGAAGTGAGGTACGTACATATTAATGGCACTCTTTTTGCAGATGAAGTAGGGAAGAGTACTGAATAGATGATGTGATAGGCGCCGTATACGATTAATTGGACGCCGATTGTGCAGTTTATTCTCTTTAATGCTTTGAATTGTCCGCCTAATTTTCTTTGGTAAGACACCCTCTTCTTCTTTTTTATAGATATTCTATTCTGTTCGCAAGCAGGATAACAACTAACAACCCCAGGCAATCCTACCTCGAATCCGCCTTCCCCTCAACCACCACCAAACCCCTCTCCCCCCCCTCCTCCGAAAAACAACCTGAAGTCAAAACCTGCTGTNCAGGCAATCCTACCTCGAATCCGCCTTCCCCTCAACCACCACCAAACCCCTCTCCCCCCCCTCCTCCGAAAAACAACCTGAAGTCAAAACAACCCTCTCCCTCCCCAACACCCTCACCAAAGTCGCCCTCGACCAAACCCTCGGCGCCGCCCTCAACACCCTCATGTTCTCCTTCGTCATGGCCGGCTTCAAGGGCGCCACCTTCCAGGAAGCAGCGCTGATCGCGCAGAAAGAATTGTGGCCGTATATGCGTGCGGGCTGGACGCTGTGGCCGGCGGTTAGTATGTTCAATTTTACGGTTGTGAGGGGT